ATCGTGACCATCTCCCGCGATGGAACTCAGCTTGCCCAAGTAACCGGCAAAGCCATCTCGTCCGCTTGTACAGATGGGCTCTTTAACGCTTGGGTTGGGAGTGCAACATCCCCAGCCGCTGTTTCCGCAAAGCCGCCGCTGTCGATCTCGGAGCAGGCCTGTATCAACGGAACCGGTGCATACAACTTCGCCGGTCTCTGTGACTTCGCTTGCTCCTATGGCTACTGCCCAGTGACAGCATGTACGTGCCGGCAAATGGGCAAGCCCCTGACGGCTCCCAATTCCACGGGCGTCATTGGATATCCAATCGCCGGCGAGGATGCCAGTTATTCTGGCCTCTGCGCATTCAATTGCAATTTGGGATATTGTCCTAGCTCCGCTTGTGGGACCGAGCAAGTCCCTCTGGTTATCCCCACCGTCTCTGATTTCGCACCTCCTGCATGTGTTGCAGGCACTGGATCGGGTGCTCTTACCGGCCTCTGTAGCTTTGCGTGCAACCACGGCTTCTGCCCAATGCATGTTTGCACTTGCACTGCCCAGGGTGGCTTGGTACCAGCCCCGCCCACTACAGGCACCGGAGGCACCCCTGTCGATGGGCTGGAGGACCATGGTCTTTGCAATTTTGCGTGTAGCCATGGGTATTGTCCGGACGGCGCCTGTGTTAAAACCGGCAATAAGAGCTCCGGCGAGGTCTATGTTCCTCCGAGCATCTGGGATAACACGGATCCCGAGGTTCAATGCATCCCACCATGCAAGATCATTTTACCCCCGTTCCCACTGGGCTCCTCGACGACGATTCAGTTCCCTTCCATGGTCAGTTCTGTCTGGACAAGATCAGGCACCTCGATCGGCACAAAGACCACCATTCTCAGCGTCCCATCACTGGTCACCGATAAGGTTCCCTTTTGGCCCGTTGTCATCGGTGCCGATACCTCCCCCACTGGATTTTATCCCCTTCAAAGCTTCATGCCGGAGTCGTCGGAGCTTGTCCTTTCGGGCGACGAAGCTCCCTTCTCCCCAGTTCCATCTGGCAGCGCAACGCCGGCACCCGTCTTCCCAGGAGCCCCTTACACTGTTACTTACCAGCCCCAGGCCACGAAGTCGATTTCATTGAGCGTGAATGTTCCTTCTGTTACCTGGTCGAGCGCTAGTCCAACTGCAACCTGTACCAGCAGCTGTGGTACCGACAGTTGCAAACTGTTTGGTGGATGCGACTCGACAGACCCAATCGACGATTGTGGTCTCTATGGCTGCGGAGGAGGATGCAGCATTCAAAGCTGTGACCAGTCCTGTGGCGTCGCCTGCTCTACCGACCAACATCATCTTGACTCCGATAGCACCGGCAGCAGTGGAGGTGGTGGCGGCGGCGGAGGGAGCCATAGTGGCAGCAGCAGCAGCAGTAGTGGGAGTGCCAATGGCCAGCAGGCAAATCTCCCCATGGACTACGACGGGCCGGACGGCCTCGCTAATGGCAAGTGGAATCCGACGCCCATCCTTGTTGAAGATGCCGCGGCAATCACGAGTGGAATGTCCGCCATTATGGCTCAAGGGACGCCGTGTTTTGAGTCCGCTTTGTCACTTTTGTCTGCCTCGCAAACGGTTCCCGCTGATCTGTATTCCACGGTTCATGCCTCAGCAACTTTCCTCAAGCAGTCCATGTCCACTCAAATCAGTGATCTGCAGGATAAGATCAATGCTGCGGATCCCGAAAACTTCCAAGCGGTCACTTCATGGTTTACCACCTGGCAGCACGATTTCAACGTCCGGGTTGACTCGATGATTCAAGGCATTGAGACGCCCAACGCTGAAATCGAATTGCAAGTAGGACTTGGAAGAGCAAAAGGTATGAGAGTTGCCATACCTGACAATCTGTTCGCATGTTTCATCTACGTTCATACTGACCAATACAGTCGATGTCGACATCTTCAGCGAAGCAGCGAGCATTGAGGCCAATGAAGATATATGCGAGATTAACCCAGATATGGGCTCTAGCAGTCATCCCATTTACCGAAAGCGTGCAATTCCCCCATCATGCGCACCGGACTTCAAAGGAGACCCGGGCGAGCCTTCCAATGCGGCTAAAATACCGAAATGGATCGGCTGCGACACCCGGTTTGGTTTTGAGTACGCTAGCAGCGCCGAAATTCTCGGTGCGATGAAGCAGGGAATAAAATACTTCCTCTCCAATGGGAGGGGCGCCCCGCGCGCTGATCAACCTATCTGGCAGACTGCTGCAAAGGCTGCATATCCCCACATCTACAGCAATAGCGACAACATAGCCTTCTCTGATGAATGCATGAATGCCGGAAACGACTATACTGGATTTATTGAGTTTCCTATCATGCCAGATGGGAGCATCTTGGAGGCCGGGCGAAACTCTCGCATTGACGTTGGTGTACAGCGTGTTGTGTTCAAGGCCAAGGCGAGCAGAGACGCCACCAAAACTGATTGGAGTTATCTCTATTGTGGTGTGATGAGCCATTTCACAAATCTCCTAGAGACGCACATCATCGATGGTGAGTCGAGGAGGGTTTTGCCTTTCAAACTCTGTGAGGCCGCTTGCTCATCTGACCTGGTTGGGCAATGCAGCTGGATGTGGGCTTGAAGAAGCAAGTTTCAACCGAGGTGCGATTCGCAAAGATGGTTGGGACGGGAGAGGGCGCTCTGATTATCACGGACTGACTCGGTTACGTGGTGGCTGGTTTTTCCTCATGGATATCTGATGTCGATTCATGGAGCGGTAACTTACCGCTAAGACAGGGCTTATACTCACAGACCCGTTTTCTCTCGTATTTTGTAGAGTAATCTGTTTTGAGTGACAGGCGAGACGGTGAATTACAGTCGTCAGATAAAGTGGGCCGATGAGCAGAACCGAATTGACGACGAAAGAAGTCCTTATTTCTGGTATCTTTACGCTAATCTTGACTCCCCAAGCGTATATCTCGATTCTGTTGCTCGATTTCTTGCATGAGTTGCACAATCTTTCGGGCGTCCGCTCGGGTCCTTTCCACCAGCTCATCTTGCTCACTTATCCATCGCAACCGCATTTTCCAAAATTCCCATCTTTCCAATGAGAACAATGAGTCTCCGTGCCATAAATTAGAATCGCTTTTTTTTAATTTTTCGAGGAGAGAAAGGTCTCTTTTTCCCACAAACCCGAAGATAATGTGCCCGGCGATCTCAAAAAACGGAACCATAGCATGCACATCAGCCTAAAATACGCAAGTCAATCAACGCATATGCCTTTATGGCCTTTCATTCTCACTCACATTCAGCATTTGCATATAATCAGTAGGGCGACCAGTGTCCCGATAGCGGTCGCCTTGCCACTGTGGCGGAGGTTGATGGGCATGGGTCCAGGGATCCTGCTCGAGGGCGAATACGATCAGTCGAAATGCCACGGTTAACTCCCTGAGATCGGGAGATTCGGGAGGATAGGCCGCAAGATAGTGCGCATAGAAAGCGTTAGCGCTGTGGAAATCACTCCACCCGTAAAAGGGATATGGGCCGTATCTCATCTCCCAACAGCCTATGATGAAAGGATTAGTATAGGCTCGTGCATGAAACCAGCTGCCTAGGGGAACTCTATGAAGGGCAAGAGGATGTGCAGGTGGATATCTCCGAAATTTCAAGCCGTTATGCCAAGGGAGCAAAGAAACCAACGGCACAGCGTTGGTCTGTTAGGGGCGGGAGAAAGGGAAAAAGGCCCACTCACGGGAATATGTCTCCGACCAAATGTAATCGAATGCCTCCAAGGACCTCCAGGTTTCTAGTCGGTCCTCGAAACAGCCGGTGCGGATCTGCTCCTCGGTTCGTTCCAGCTGAGGCAGCGCGCGGATCGCCTCAATTAACTTGAGAATGGCAGGCTGGTAGCGCGGCATGTCGATAGCAGCATCCCATAATAACCAGGAGACGCGTTCACCTTTGTCCACGACGTTGTTCTGGCGCTTCTCGACCACGCGGCCCTCGTCGACGAGCGACATTAGTTGGCGAGCAGCATCCTCTGCTGCAATGGCATTGGCTGTGCCGAATGACTCGGCAAATTCTCGCAGGGTTTGGATTTCGTCCACAGTCGGAGGGTCTTCCTCGTCCGGGTCCGGATGGGAGAAGCGTTCCCACTCAGTGTAGTCGTCTCTCATGGATGGCAACGTTGGACGCCAGTTTTGAACAGGTGTTGCAGATGAAGGAGAGGGACTCTTCGGCCTTTTTAGATGGTTCACGCTAGTGACCGATTCTGGAAGTGGATCCAAGTGCACGGTGCAAGTTGGTATCGGTATCGGTGTTATCATTGGCCGTCCCAGCCTATCATAGTCGAGGCTATGCGGGAACCGCCCCACCGCTATCAAGCAGCCTGGGCAGGAAAACTATTTACTATGGTATATATATGCAGTCCACCTGCCCCTCATAATGGCAACAACAACTTCATACCTTTTGAACCTACTTTAACAGACTTTTATTGGCGTTGGTGGACCTTCAGCCCCGCCTTTATCGCACCCCTGCAATTCCTTTCCATTTCTTTTGCTGAAGAGACTCCAACAAATTTGGAAGCTTGGTTAACAAGACTACAAAATACGAGAAAGCAGCGGCAGCCATCTGAATCACCTTTTGCCAACTACAACACAGAAGAAAAGAGCAGCTGAAGCACAGTGGTCACTCACAAGCCTCGATTTGATCACCCTTCGCACCCATACGTTGAAGATCCCTTCTACTTTTGTAACCCAAACAATATGGAAGGAGGCTTGGCAGGTCGTCATTCCAAAAGGGAATAGTATGCTCCCTTAATGAATGACGCGCTTGGTGTCTCAGCTGCTTCTTGCATCATTTGCTTCTTGCATCATTTTAAACAAAAAATATCCCACCTAGGTCAGACCTCCCTCCCAAATCTAACTCTGACTCTCTCATGGTAAAGGAGACGACAAACTAAGAGTCGTTAGGAAACAAAAAGAGCTGGCAAAAAGAGTCGGTTAATAGACCCAGACTAAAACTATCCCTGGCGCATAATGGTGAAGCCTCAGGGACGGCGGCTATTCGCCATCACCTACTCGGGGACGTCGAATGAAACATCCACCCCCGGGACGCAGCACGATGGTCTTGAACCAATGGCCAACATTCTTGGCTGCAACCGCACAACCTGGAGGATTAAAAACTCTGTGGGCGCTTATCCACAGGTGTCTTCACCAAAGTACGTGTCACCTAGATTGCGCGCTGCATTCCAGTTTATTGCCGACGGCGACGTCCCTCATGGGAACGAGACTGCAAAGAGCTACTTGCAGGCGAGCCCGAATAATGATGATGTATGCAAGGGGACTAAATGGGCGGGAAGTTCACACTGATGGCGTCATATGCATGAACGACTGGACCAATACCTGCGCTACGATTTTCTTATCCCTATTTCCAGTCGCGTATAGCTTTGTCTTCAGCTCTCGGCGTACAGGCCGACGAGAGCGAAAATCAAATATAGTGCGTAGGTTTTATGAACCATCGACCATCTATAGCATTAAGTTGAATAGCTGCTTTTCAATATCTAGCACAGTCAAGTTTTCCAGCTACTATGATAGTAGTTGCAAAGATTCTTGTGATAGGCAGCGTTGATTTTGAAACACTTCAGCCAACCCTCATGGGTATCTTGACCAATTACGAAGTTGGATAGTGGGTTGCCAGGCGCAACTGGTTCAAAGATGAGATGGGCCCCAATAAGCTTCAGCAAGAAAAAGTGGAACAGTTCCACTGTCTCCCTTCTTTATTGGTGGATAAACAAAATTGACACGACGTCTATGAGCGTTGCCCAGCAAGCATGCACTCACCCTCACCAACTCAAGGAACACAGGCAACAGTCTCATATCTTATTCCCGTACTGGCTTCCTTCGTGGGGGTGACGAAAGTCAAGACAAAGGCAGGGAGCTCAGCCACCTTGGCCATGGTCACGTTCCCACCCAACGTGGCTGTGCAAGGGGTAACTGTTCCTCCTCGATTCTGAAAACTCCAATTCACCAAGAAGATATGCATAGCCTTGCCAACTCTTTCCCGCCATGCCCAAAACGAGACGCCTACTCCGGGAGGAAATAACATACTCTGTCGCAAAGGACAGTGAGGTCAATGTTCTTCATCGACTTAGTTGGCCCAGTCAAGAAGCTCAATTTTTTAGTCTCCTCGAAAGCAAGCGCAGCTGGATAAGAGGCATTGTCGCCCATCACCTGAATCTCCGATCAGCCAACGCGTGCCAAGTGGCCGATGTTCGAGAATGGCTTCATGGAAGTTTCAATGTTTGCGTCCCTGTCACAATCTCTGAATGGAATCAGAAGCAACAAGTTGGAGACCGAGTCCTTGTTCGTTTTCCTTTGCCGTATCGTATCGGGGAGAATTTTCGACCTGGAAATGGGGACGAAAAGGTTCGATGTGAAGCAGGAACGTATGCCTGGTTGGAAGAAAATTGTCCCGATATACCAATTCCGCGACTTTATGGGTTTGAACTGGCTACTGGGGAGACTGTATGAGATCTTTACGCCACTGAGACACTGGTAACTGACCTCMAATCTAGTTTACCCGGATTGAGAGCCTCCCCATCTTAACTTCGTGGTTGCAACGCTTGCGCCACCGCGTGCTACATCTTCTCGGCTGCTCAGTTCCGACCAAGTATATCCGTCATCAAAGAAGAAACGAGGCGCCCGAATGCGGTCCGCTTAATGTTGGCTATTTGTTAATCGAGTACATCGAGGAAGCCAAGGGAAAGATGCTGTCATCCACCTGGACGTTGAAACAGGATGATGTGAGGTTACGGACCAACTTGTTCCGCGATCTCAGCAGAATATACTTGAGTTTATCGAGGACACCACTCCCAAGAATCGGATCGTTCGTAATCGACGACAGGGGGTTCCTATTGCTAAAAAATCGCCCTCTGTCTCTTGGAATTCAAGACTTAGAAAATGAATGCATTCCAACAGATATGCCACGAGACTATACGTATTCAACAGTCGACGCATTTGTGGTGGATACCTTGTCTTATCACGACAGCCGGCTTCGCAATCAGCCAAATGCTATAAACGACCTCGCGGACTACATATATCAAACGTCATCTCTGACAACGATGCGGGCAATATTTCCACTGTTTTTCAGTCGAGATCTCCGTCGCGGGCCATTTATTTACTCATTAACAGATCTGCATCAGAGCAATATTTTCGTTGACGAGAACTGGCACATTACATCACTTGTCGACCTGGAATGGGCATGTTCTTTACCCATTGAGATGGTCCAACCTCCTCACTGGCTTACGAACATGGCTGTGGATCGTATTGTGTCTCAGGAGTACAATGAAATTCGAATGGAATTCATGCGCGCCCTTGCTACTGAGGAGGACGTTTATTATTCTCATGGCAATAATAAGGACTCTTCAGCACCAAAAAAACTATCACTCATAATGGGCACAGCTTGGGACAAGGGGACCTTTTGGTATAGTCTAGCTCTGTCAAGCCCCACTGGACTTTTCGCAATTTTTGACAAGGAGCTTCAGCCACGATTTGTTGATAAATGCCCTGATCACAGTGCCTTTCATCAAGTTATGCCATGGTACTGGGAGCAGGATATTGTGACAGCGTCAACACGCAAACTTGCAGACAAAAGAGCCTACGACATCCAACTTCGTCGCGAATTCGAGGACGAAACCTATTCGACATAGGCTTAGCACTTGTCACTGGTTCGGACCTCTGCTAGAGCTCTGCTGATTTTCTCTCTCAAGGCCCTGTTGCACAGCTTCATCCAATAGGCGCAGTGCCTTTTCGTTCTTGATCCTATGCCTCTTGTCTTGGGCAGCTTTCGCCGAGGAGCTCAGTTGTTGAATACTTTTCACATCCGCTCTTACGCTAACGATCGCCTCTTCTCCCTTTGATCCATCATTTTGGGATTTATCGGCCATTGCGGATGGTCTTCGCAAAACACGTAAGTAAAACCTAAAACTTTAGATTCAAGGTTGGCCTTCGCACCTTCGATTGTTCGTAGATGTTCGTTAGATCAACTGATCGTTGTGATTGTACAAACTATTCCGACTTGTTAGTGATGCCAAGGCTAGGGGAGGTTTGGAAGTGAGAACTATTATACTGAAGTAAACTCGGAGGATCCGCCAAATCTGAGACAAAAGAAAAAGAGCTCGCGATCTCAATCGCCTTTAAAAGTAGCTTCCAGCCAGGTAACCCCTGTCCTCTGACTCCATCAAACGGAGTCCGAGTGCCCCAATAGGTAATCTGTGCAGCTACCCATGTCCTGCAAAGCCGTGTTGGAGTCTCAAATCACCATACAGTGTTACCTGACAGAGGGTGTAGGCCTTCTAACCTGGCTGTGAGTAGAAAGCACTACTCTCCCAATGTAAGCTTCCCAGTCGAGCCGGGGTCAATACACGACTTCACTGCAGTAGCTGCTTTCCTTTGTCTGACTTAGCTGCATGTTTTCCAATCGCAGAGGTGCTAAGGTCTGAGCACAACAAATAGGTAGGCGTGACCGCCAGAATCCGGTTCGCGAATAGGCATCCTTGTCACMTTTCCGTTTCTTATCCCGATTTATCTCGAATAGGCGCTACACTCTGGCTACCAGTGTCTCTGGAGGAGTTCTGACTCGTTTCTCACCTGGCAGGGCACCAGCTGCATTATTATCGTCTGCCATCCTGGCAACTGAGAAATTGATTGGCTGAACGGGGATGGATACCTTGGTGCTCCTTGCTGCCACGTCAGCTACGGAAGAAGTTCACTCCGAACGCCCACGTGCAGCGGGTTCAGACTGAGCTTTTGGCCGACAATGAGGCTGCTTGAACCTCCGCTTGATAAACACCCAGGTTTTCCTCCGAAAGTGTATCGTTCGAGTCCCATCTGCATCTGATATCGTATTCTACAACATGGCCATGCATACATTAGCTCAAAGCCTGCTGCAGCAGCTCGACATGCTCCAACTAACACTATTACAACTCGAATTTATTGACAATCAGTTCTGTTCCACCGTACAATCTAGAGGCATAGCAAATTTCACGGTGATTTGTTTTCGATGGCCAAAGCTTGATGCTTATAGCAAGTACGGATCCCGGAAGATCTGGCAGTGCGGCAGCGCAGGCACGATTTCAGCTCTGAGAGAGGACGCTCAAGCATAGCTATATATCCCTGTATTCAAACGCCTCTTGTCATAAACCCTAGGAGGTATCAACCTACGCTACCCGGACTCGTGTTTTCCGACCATTTTATGCTTGCTTAATATGCTGGAGTTGCCTGACGTCACGATATAGCATACTCAGAAACCTTCTCTTCCGTACTACAGTACCCAAATCGGCATTAGATAGGCGGCGCTATCTTTAGCATATCTATACAAGGAATTGGTAATCTCTACTGGATATGGAGGAAATACCGTAGATGGTTGCTACGTATTTTCAATGATCCAGTAGGACCACCAGAAAGTTGCGCGCTATATATCATTATGGAGAGCCCTATCCAACAGCAACTGGAGCTGCATTGCACTGCCCTCTGATTGTTGGTACCCTGATTAAAGTTGAGAGTAAATCAGAAAGTTGATGCGTGTGTATCGCGCGTGTGGAGGAAAAACTGGCCCCATTCACTGGATTGCTTTGTTGCGCCATACAAGGTGCCCCCCCGAATGAAAATCCCGAAGTCGCAGAGAAAGAGAATGGAACAAATCCGGAGGCTGGACTCATGTGACAGCGATGAGGAAAGGTACAAAACTAGACGACTCTGTGACAGAAAATCAGTCCTTGCAGTGACTGCTGCAATGCCAAAATATGTCGATGGATCACTCCCGCAGTAACGCCATAACCTCCAGAGACATCTACCGTTATCCATGCCTCTTACCGAGACCAGTGTTAAGCATCTCTGGCATCTGTATGAGGTTCGCCATTATCTTGTTGTGGGCGGTCGTAATCCCAGGGAGGGCGCAGGCTGCGGCTGTCTTCGCCCACTTTCTAGTGCGAACCACTTCCCGAACACTCATCTCCTGTTCTAACGCACTCCATAGGTATCAAACGCAGCTAACTTCACAATCACTGATTGGGCGGATCACATAAGGTTAGCGCAAGATGCCCAAGTGGACGCCTTCGCACTGAATATCGCGGCCGATGACGCGATTAACGGCCATGCATTACAACTGGCTTTTACTGCAGCTCAGAGCGCGAGATTTAAGGTTTTCTTTTCATTTGACTATGTCGCCCGTGGGCCCTGGAATCAACATGATGTGATTGGGTTGTTGCTGCAATATAGAATGAACGAGGCCTACTATTGCGTCAATGGACACCCATTTGCATCTACCTTTGAGGGCTCGGAGAACGCAGAAGAATGGAAAAATATCAAAGCCAGCACAGATTGCTTCTTTATTCCCGACTGGTCTTCACTAGGAGTCAAGGCAGCGTTGGAAAAAGGCTATGGCCTCGTGGATGGGCTCTTTAGCTGGGCCGCCTGGCCGTCTGGTTCACAAGATATGAACACGCAAGTGGACATGTCTTATATGGAACTTCTTCAGGAGACGGGAGGACTTGCCTACATGATGCCTGTCTCCCCATGGTTCTATACAAATCTGCCCGGCTATGGCAAGAATTGGCTTTGGCGCGGGGACGACCTATGGTATGATCGCTGGCAAGAGGTCTTCTCTGTCCGGCCCGAATTTGTGGAGATCATTTCGTGGAATGACTACGGTGAATCTCATTACATCGGACCACTTCATCAGGGCGGATATGGGGTATTTAAAACGGGTAAGGCGCCATTTAATTACGCCGAGGGCATGCCGCATGACGGATGGCGGATAATACTGCCATTTATCGTCAGTAATTATAAGAATGGTAGTGCTGCAGTGAAAGAGGAGTTATTGGTCACATGGTATCGCACAACTCCCGGAGCTGCGTGTGATGCGGGTGGAACTTCGGCGAACACGCGTAGTCATGGACAAATTGAATTGAGCCCTCAAGAGGTGACTAAGGATCGTATCTATTACTCCGCCATACTTACAGAATATGCCGTGGCCGAAGTGACCATTGGTGGCGTCACACAAAGCGGGACATGGAGAAGCGAACCAAGCAGTGGCAAGGGGATCTATCACGGGAGTGCACCGTTCAATGGTGCAACGGGAGACGTAGAAGTCACTTTGTGGAGAAGGGGTAACAGGGTTTTGACATTGAGAGGAAAAGCGATTTCTGGAAACTGCCCCAACGATATCCAGAATTGGAATGCCTGGGTTGGCAGTGGCCGAGTCCCCTGCCGCTCATCAACCACCTCGCGCGAGATTTATCTCCCTTCCAACTCAGCGGACGTCTCACAAATTCAAGAAGGGTATCCCCAAGCCCAAGGGAAACCAGGCAGATGATGGGCATGTGCGACACTTGTGGCTGGGTTGGACCTTAACGGTCCATGAGGGTTGGGACCGATCGAAATGTGGGCGCCTGTTCTTGCAGAATACCGCGCACGCCAATGGTAAGGGCGGCGCCTGTTTCACCAGCTCGGAGCTTTTCATTGCTTTGAAGCGATCGCATGCCTCGATCTTTAGCCATCAACTACTTCGTATGACCATTAAATTACTCCAGTCACTGTGTAAAGTCCAGAGATCATAGCGGCATCCACATTTTCATCCAAGATATCCTTGGGGAGCCATCCGCAGCAGTAGTGAAAGGGTCGACAAGCAAGAAGAGAAAATTGACCAGCAGTCTGGTAAGCTCAACTGCTGTCTCTGAGTTATGTACGGAGAAGCTACACTGGACTCAGGTCTGCATGGGCCGATGACAGACCAGTAGTTGCGGACTCCCATCAAGCTAGACACAGGCGAGTGACTTAGCTTCTATTAGCGTAGGAATTCGAAACATCTCGATCCATCGCTCAGCCTCAGCGACTTGCGTACGAACGTCATCACACGAGGAGGCGTGGGGATTGTGAGTGCAACATGCGATGTCTTGCAAACGGTGAACACTTAAGTGCTAACAACTTTGTTCACGCGAAGTCATTCTCAGTCCTGCTAGTCCTTAGCAACCGGAGCTTAAGATTGACTAGCAATAAGAAATTGATGACTGGTCCAACAATTTCTTCTTTTCTAACCAGCGGCGAATGCTCAACCAACTGCATACGATCATTATTGATGACAACATCCAGATGGCCTAATCAATGGGACACCCTGAACTGTCCAGTGTGCGCTCAGTTGTCTGGAACTTGGATTTGAGATACAGAGACAGAAATGACAGGTGATCTGTTTGTAGCAACAGAGCGAACACTACCCCTAGCATGGCTTTTTGCTGTTGGCTCAAGCCTATCTGTCGGTTGCCCGGAAGTGGTCTACTGTCGTGATAACAGTTTCTGTCTAGGTAACAGACACCTGCAACGCGGACAGGTTGCACGCATCCTTAGCCCCAAGACTAGGGCAGATTAGGGGCCACTCAATAGTCATATAACTATTCAAAAGCCCGTCCCAATCCGCCCTGTGGCTTCGATGCACAGACGCATACATTTATCTACCGTTATAATATACATACAACCGGTCAACCAATGCCACCCCCGGAGCGCGGCCTTGCTCGGAAAGAGCGAAAATCAAGGGCACCGCTGCAGAAGGCAACTGTGACCGAAACCGCCCAGGAGCGACCCAGAGAAGCGACCGAGACCTTGGACCGAGGTATCCTTGAGAAGATTCAGAAATGTCTAAAACGAGCTGCTCATAGCAGCTCCACGGAGTCGGAAGCCAAAGCCGCCCTATTTGTCGCCCACAAAATGATGACCCAGTATAATGTCACCCAGGCGGATCTATTGGCTAGCGAACTTGACAAGAGCAAGGCAAAATATGGGGGAAGAAGTGTGGTGTCCATTAGGCATACTGACTCCTCAAAGCGTGTTACTAAAGAGAGCTTCGTCGGCAAGGTGGCCAAGGCCATGTGCACTTTTTTCGATTGCAAATGCTTCTCAACAGATTATGGTTCATCCATGCAATGGACCTTTTACGGTATCGCGGAAAATACAGTCGCAGCGGCATCGGCGTTTGAGATGGCCCATAATAAGATCCTTGACTGGGCCTGCTCCTACAAAGGCGGTTCGCCTACCTTTAGCTATCGTATCGGCGTTGCCGATGGGCTGGTAGCCATGGCCAACCGCGAGAAGAAGAGAGAGCTTGAGGACGTAAGGCGAAAGGAGCTGGATATCGTCGCCGCCAGAGCGATGGAGCGCCAACAGCAACTTGATAGACTCTACACCCTGCCTGCACTAGACATCAACCTTGTTGGAGCCAAAGCCKAGGATAGCTTTTGCGGTGATTTCTTCTTTGACGACTCCGACACCCTTTTCGAGCTTTTTGATATTTATGAGTCTAGTGACCGCGGGGGAGAGGCCGACTTTAACGAGAACAACAAGAGTGCTATAGACACTATGCGAGGCGTGGATGACAATATTGAAACAGTCATCAAGCAAGAATCTTATGGAATTTCTGGCCTTGCCAGTATTCCCCTGTCCTCTGCTGAACAGAAATTGTCTGCTTCTTCATCCGCCCCTACAACGAATGAAGATGCATTGCCCTCACCGTGGGCGTCTGAGATGCAGCTGACGCGGTTTCGCGCCACCTCAGAACAAATTGCAGATGACTTCATCAAGGAAAACAACATAAAGCTATATCACCAAAGGTCACGTCCAGTTACGGCTCGAGACGCCCACGCTTATCGGCAGGGATGGGAGGACAGTTCGAAAATTGACCTCCGTCAGCGACGCCTCGAGTGAAACCGTTGATTGCTCAGTCTGCTGAGATTTATGGCCTCTTTCCTTCTGCCTTAACTTCCACTATCATATTACCTTCACGGAGCTTCCTCTCCTGAATCTTTAAAGTGCATGGTCGATAACCATTAAGGATACGTGCGATAATACGGCAAACGCCCAGAGATGAGGAGAGGAGTGCAATTGAAGCAGAGATCGTTGTGCCGTTACGAGAAGCAAAGGAGTACGTACAATAGGGCTGCACACTGTTTGAATGCATAAGAAGAGGATATGCCTTTTGGTTGGTAATTTGAAGTTCCCTGTGGTAACTGAGGCGTACAGTACGGCAAGGAAGTCCCTCAGCCACTGGAGCCTAGGTGTGTACTCCCTTCACCATTGCGGTTCATTTTAGCAGTGGGATACTGTGCAGTGTCGAGGACCTGAATAGCCCCAGGAGGTGTAGCAGACAGATACTGTGAAGTAAAAAGATGTTACAACCCACCGATGCAGAAAGTGTTTGCGGAGCACTTAGAAGGAAGCAATCAAGTACTTTAGATTTCCCCTTACCCGTAAGAGCGCACGAAATAAGTACTCAGTAGCTTAATTATACGTCAATTCCAATAGAATGCATCGAAAGACAATAATCGACTACAGGGCGTGATTCTGTGGTTAGTCCGCGGTACCCAGAGGCAATGACTTACAATACTTCGATGATCTCATTCAGGGATACTTAGTGAGTGCGTTCAGAGAATTTTCTACACCGCAAATCAAAACAGCGTCACCCGCGCCTTCAGCAGGGGTGGTACCTTGATTTGGATTGGTGTGGCGTGAGTAAGGGCCGCATGACACAAGGAGCTGCCCTGAAACTGGAGTGGAACATAGCACAACGGCGGAAGACAAGACCGATACGGAGGATAACTATTCCGCGCTACTCGCTGCACTTTAGAGACTAGCTAGATGTAGCCGGATATGTCGGATGCATTTTTGACTTCAAGTCTATCCTAGAAACATCAAAGCGCAGTTGCCGTGTGCTTAGAGTTTAGCCCTAGCTCAGCATATTGGGAGATTCGACATCTATGACACCGCTGCCCTTTCTCAAATTCTCCCTAATGAATAGATTTTTTCCTATGTTCCCTTCCGTTGACAATTAAAACTGACGGCGAGCGCTATTTGTGACTATTCTACAATGACCGTTTCCTTTCTATGCGGGCTACTGAGGCTCATGTCGTCCCGTAATGACGCATAGGCCATTGCCATGGTTACATCGGTGGCGCCGTTCTCGCCGCTCGTGTTTTTGAACTCTCTCGCTCTTCGACAATGGGCCCACTGCACTTTCGGAGAAGCCCGCCCTGTCTCCACATGACGCCCAAAAGTTTTCCAACAGTGCTCCAGCAATAGCGAGCGGCTCAGATCAGCATGCCACTGTGACGCATGAGCATCCTTTACGTTAACTGGCTGGGTGAGTCGGTAATGTTGTATCAACGTCCATGCAGGCAATATATCGGCATTGCTTGGGCACAGTTTATCGCCATTCCGTAGACACGATCGACGCAATGCGAGATCCGCCGCACGAGACCACGGGCGCTTGTGTCCACCCCTGACACTAACCGGTCGGGCCATCCCCAGATGGGCGGCTGGGCAGGCCCACACACATGCTTCTTTCACGAATGAAAACAACGCCGAAGCGCTAACAGTAGTGCACGTCGCTCGCCAACAGGTACTTTTGATTCCATTGTCTATCCGCTGGAGCCGAACTTTGTCCGGCCAATCAAGGAGGCGCAGGTGGTTGGCTAATGGGTTAGCAAGCAGGCCAAGAATCTAGATCTTCAATGGCTGGACTATATGAGGGGAGACCTGGCGGCGCCATATACATCCTGGCCCAGCCCCTGGATAAGGGCCAGTAGAAAACGAGTGCCTGAGCTCGCACTTCACCCTACGCTCCACCCATAAACGCCATTCTGCAGATGGCAACGATTTTCCTTGAGATAGGAGCTACCGAAAGACGCACTACAGGACATTAGTCCCGTTACACATCCAACGACCCGCCCTCGTCAGGTGATGGTAAGCTCTTCCCGTTAATGATCTCCCGGGCCTCCGCCGCCCATTGATTTAGCTTCCTCACATGATCCCACACCTGCTTCAGGTAACTGTCCCGTGCGCTGGCGGCGATGATCAGCTGTCAGGTCGTCTTCGCTGCGGACGCGTCTGGCCATACCTGTTCTGTTCCCGGATTTCCTTCAGTTGGCCCTGTATGTCCGTGATCTGTGCCACGATTTGATCGGTCTCCTTTCTCTGTCTGTACGAGGGTAAGAAATAAGCCCATTAGACACCACCCATGGAAATGCTAGCCAAGCCTTAAACCGGCCCCTTGGGTTCCGTACATACCGCTCAAGGCACGCCCTTGAGTTGTCATTGGATGGTCAGTCCAATGTCTTCCTAATCAGTCAAAGGGAAGTCCCAGGGGCCTTTTACCTGGTGGTCGCGAGCGTTCTCCATTCCTATTAGCACTGGTTAGCATCTTGGAGACTTACTCTCGGAGGGATCTGCAGGGCACCTTACTCTACAAGTTTAAGAGCTAGTTGGCTGCCTTCCGGTCAGACTCACCAGGGGTATGGAAATTCTCGCAACTCACTTACTGGATCTCCTCCCTGTAGCTGGGAGATTGTTAGTAGCAAGGCACGCCGCACCATTAAACGGGGGGTGACTCACGTGAAAGCGTCCTCAGTTTGGTTGATGCCTGATGGATCATCAGACTGAAATAAAGGCGCGCGACCTCCGGCTGACGAGGGCGAGTTTTGCCGTGGGGCGAGCTTGCTGCCTTCTTTACCGCTAGAGTTACCATCTGAATAGTCCTAATGAGGGGCCGCATTCACAAAGTCCATGATATACTCGACCCACCAGCGGGAAATACGGTCAGACATGGCTTTGTAGCGTCCCTCGGACAGACACCATAGGATCTATACAGATTAGGAAGGCGTCACAAACGATGCGACACTATACTTTAGAGCCTAGGGCAATGGGAGTGATGCCTCACTCACAGGACTGTTACCAGGAGGGCCAGGGATATAGTACAAAAAAATGTGAAAGTAGAATTATACAGGAACCTTAAAAACCTATGCCGGGGTCTAACTCCAGGCTTCCCAGATGTCCATCATCCATTATAAAGCTCATCCATCCCTCCGTAGGCATGTCAGCGCCTTGAGGCAGCTGGCTGGCTTGAGGAGCATAGATATCACCCAGCACCGGCGCAATGTTCTGTTTAACCGGCGGCTGCTCCGGCAGCTGCGGCAGCTACAGCACAGCTGACAGGATGCTGCTTGCTCTAGGAGGCCCAGTGGGAAGATATCCGGATCCAGCAGGGGGAGGAAGCCGCTCCACTAACATTTGCAGACAGCCAGCAATTCTGTCCTAGGTTGCTGGCGGCACTGAAGGCGCCATTGAATGCGCTGGCAGACGGTTGGACACAGCGCTAGTTTGAGATAGTGGTATAGAGGCTTGAAGGTTGGGCATCAGAGCAGGCGGAGGCCCTGTTAACAGTTCAGCTGATGGAACTGCGGGCAAAGCAGTTGGATTTAGCTGCACTGCAGCGTTTATCTACCTGCTCAGACCAGTTGCTGTAGATGAGCTACTGAATAGGACAATGCGTGTGACGGAACTTTGCACACCCTGCATCGAAGAGCGTCCGGTGGTGTTGCTTTAAAGATTGCTGGTGGGGAGTGTTTCTGCCCCCGTCTCCACTATGCCAGCATCTTTCCTATAAAGCCTTATATGCCTCTCCATATTCTCCTTCTCCAGTCTCCCTCTTCCGCCCAGGTTCTCTATTTGTATGTCCAAAGATGCCGGCCACTTAACAGATATCTTGGTTGGAGTAACAGGGGCTAGTATTCCTTCACTTCACATCGCAGAGGCTCTGTGTAGCGGTATAGCACTCTCAAAAATGTTCTCCTTGGTGACCAGTCAAAACAGCTTTGGATCCAAGTGCTAGTGCTCTTATAGTTCCCGGAGGATTCTTCCAGTATATTTAGGCGGCACGCGCTCTAGTATAAGTTTAAACCCAGTGACAAGATCTATGAAAAGTTCAGTAAAATGAGTCACTACCTCTACTACCTCTGGTGTCTGCCGATCCCTGCTGGGCGCCAGTCATTCAAGCTGTCATCTGTCAGTGGGACTTTTCAAGTAAGGCAAGGAAGGATCGCCTACCACGGCTCTAAAGTTGGCTTTGGCCGCATGGCCCTTGAGAGTCTCTTGTGCTGCATCATCATCTAGTTCTAAGGCTTTGTCCAGCGCCCTGGCCCGTGAGTGGTTGCCTTCATCAGAATAATCCAAATCATCACTCTAGCGCAAGGATTGGCGGTCTGGTTGATGGTGAGAGGGGATATAGCACTTAGTAGGCATCACAGGAGCACGAGACTTGGTGGCGATGATTAGGCGTGACTGAGCTTAATAAAGGAGGTAGCCACAGAGAAACAAAACAAAAAGCCTGTTTACTATCAGTATATGATGCACCAAAGGATAAAGGAAGAAAAAACACAGAGGAAGTAAGCCTCCTCTCTACCACAGTAAACTACTCTGGTTCACCAGGGGAAATTAAATGGTGAACATGGATAAACATACACGCAGCCCTTAATACAGTAGCATCTGAGCAGAGCTAGCCTATTTTCATTTATAAACCTATATCTAACACCACTACCACTCCACTTGCCTCCAGCCGGTATTTTCATTGAACAGAGTTGCCTCCCCCTGGTTAAGCCAACCAATATCATCCATGGCTGGGAGTCAGGGACGGCGCTACATACAAGGGCGACGCGTGCGTGCCTGATCCCCCTTAAATAATTGCGGGCAGTTTGAATTTGTGGGCTGGCCCTCTAGCGTTCAGCCAGTGCACAGGCCTAATAATGCCATGGGGCCCAGGGTGCAGGCCTTGGCTTACTTAGCTCTGCACTAGCTTTATGTTGACCACAACCCCCTAGCTCATCCTCCCTCCCCAACCCAAGTCCGAGTCGGCTGATTTCACGGAGTGATTCTGTAGAATAGGTTGAACTGTTATTTGTTCTGCGGCGCAGGGGTTGAATAGGTCTGCTGCATGGGTGGAACTACTTGCTCCCGAAGAGCCAACTACTAAGAGGATGACTGAACACGGCTGGACGACCCAGTGAGGGATATAAGAAATTGACCTGCTCCTCTCCTCCCCTTGTGCTGCCTGCCTTTCTTATTCCTCCCTGCTCATTTATATACTGAAGAGAGTGATTTGCGATTAAAACTGAGTATATTCACAGTGCTCTCTTAGACTGCCAAAGCAAGCCCCTCTGTTCACTGGGGCTTTCAACCAAGCCAGAGTGACATTATGCAGCCATGCCGCGCGCAGAGACCTGGGTGAAATATAAGGAAGCTAAGCTGGCCCAGATTGTGGACCAGAGAAAGAGGAAGGTCCTGTGGACCAAAATTGAGCGCTGGTGGAGGAAAAATGTCAGAACCGCTCGAGGGGCATAAGCTATACGCTCTAAAATGGAGCGCTGGCAACTGAAATAGAAGATAAAGGAGCTAAGTGCACTTCAGTCTGTCCATCAAGCAGAAGGTGCCACACCTATGCCGCGCAGGGTGGAGGCAGGACTTAGCAAAGATAAAGTTCTTAGGGTCTGCAGCCCAAGCCTTGTCAGCAAGCCGTACAGAAAGGCAAAGCATCTAAGGCGGCGGTCTAAATGGAGCGTGCCCTCAAGTCCTGAACTAATAGCTATTGTTAAGGGCCCTTCAAAGAGCCTCCTGCAAGAGTTAGACTGGCCTGTTAAGCAGGCAGGCTGCACTCAGCTGCTGCAGATCAAAATCTCAGCGCTGATAATATCTATCTTGGCTGGGAACAATGATGCGAGCCTTCGAGAATTAATTAAATGGCTGATCTCCCCTGTTAAGCCTCCATTGACTTTAAAGAGCCTCTGCCAAGAGCCAAATGAAGGGCGCTCTCAGTTATTAGTGATTAGAATCCCTGCGCCCTCCACGCCCATTACATCCAGCGGAAAGGTCTTAAACCTGGGAGAGTTGGTCTAACAGGCAACCAAGAAGCCAAAGAAGGAATCCAGGAACGACGATGATGGGGTAATAAAGTCCTGTATCACTTACCTTCATCAGTCAGAATCATCTTCTATCTGTAATACTGTATCCACTGATAAACTGATTAGTGACAAGGAAACTGCCCTGGCCGGATTTCCGCCTCTTAATATAATTGCGCTCCCACATCAGCCATAGAGATAATTGAATGGCCCGGCCAGACCGATCTACAGCTAGCCCTGAGAAGCCAGTCATTAATTATTTCAGGATGGGCCGCCATATACGCACTACCTTGGGCCACAACCAACCGCTAGGCGATCATTATTTAATTAGATGTCCTTATCGCACATCATCCCTGCCCCTGGCACCCCCTTCCCTTCTGCACACCCTCTAAACTATGGTGCCACATGCCGTCTATATACAATAGTTGTATATACTTTAGCGATGGAGTTGTGGCTCATCTGTTCTGTTCTTTATATTACTCCTTTTGCCTCTTTCTTTTTTTTGTCTTCCTCTGTCCCTGATCAGAGAAATTAGGGCCCGCCCTCAGTCCACCGCTCTTTCCTGCTGACATCGTTAGCTCAAGTAAAATATGCCCCCTGTATATAGAGCTTCATAGAAATAGTTTTGTTTGGCCCTTCTTTCTGTAATAGTCATCAATCCAGAAAGTGCTTACTATTAGTTCTAGGAGGACAGGAATAGTAGGTCCCTGCTGCATTCAGGCACCCTCCCTGATGCATCCCATGGGAAGCAGCAAAGGACCACATTTAGGCTGGGCAGCCGCGCTATATAGGGCTGTTTATCCAGAACGGCATTGCATGAGGGCATAAGAATTTCTTGGTGGAGAGCTCTTCCCAGCCACCTTTATAGACCCAGTTCACCGCAAAGCCAGCATGCGCCGAATGAACAGAAACCTAGAGGATAACTAGATATTGCTTCCAGACAAGTAAGTACAGGTAAGGTCCATGTCTTACACGCCCTGACGTGCTTACAGATGCCGGCCTGGTTAGGATTGGAGTCAGAAGTGGGGGGCTGGGCCGTCACCAATAATGGTAGCATGGCGTGACTGCTCGCGGAGATGGAGCATCCTCAAAATCAGTATCTGTTAATTCACCTCTTTATTAGGAGGACAACCAAGGCCTAGGCACTCCGGTCACTATATCCCCATAACAACACCGGCTGACAGTGCGGACTGGGCTTTGCCCGGCTACATTATGCCCCAGTCACCCACCCCCATATAGTGATCTTCATCAACGGCAGTCTTTCGCGGCCAACAGCCAAGTCTCATTCAGGGGCCCTGCTTCACTGCTACTATATCCAGAACAGCACCGGCCGGCCCTACCAGGAGATCCAAGGTCTGCTCTACCACCACCTTCTCCTCCCTCGCGCTGATACCTGGACGCTCTTCACGGATGATATCAGTGGCATCTCTTAAGTTAAGAACCTCTTCACTGCATGGAGCGCAGCGCTGTCCTGCAACAGTCTTAAACCAACTCTCATTGCACGGCCGCAGCTCATCATGGTCTTGACCGATCCATAAGTTGCAGCTGATCACTCAGAGACCATGGAGAGCACCCTGCGAGCAGTCGCTGTCCCAAGCCTGGTCACCTCCGTGCGCGTGCTAGACTTATATAACCGCGTGCCCTTATCCCCAGTAAGTCATTTTAAGCCGCTGTGGCGACTGCTCTTACAGGAACTAGATAAGGCATACCTCACACAGCGCGAGGCCCATGAGCTCTTCTCTGCCATTTACCTCAACTGGATTTGGCGCAAGTCACTGCTTCACGTCGCCTGAACACCTACGGTCCCGTTCGACTGCATCCGAGCATGCTAACCTGATCGGCCCCCTAAAGACCAGGCCTTATGGTATCTGCGGCTCTTCTTGGATACTACTAAATATGCTGGGGCGGCTCCCGAAACTGTAATTAGCAATGTCGCGTCAGCTTTGCTCATGGACGCCTACCCACCAGGCATGCATGGTGAGCTGCATAGGATGAAGCTGAGGCGCTCATTAACTACTTGTTTCCTCGTTCTTGCCCCTTTATTCATTTCTTCCCCTTCCATTTCTTTCTTATTTTGTCTTCCTGTCAGATAGTAGGGCATTGAGTATTGACAAACCCAGGATTTGAGCCTAGGGTAATGTTCCAAACCCTCTATGCCGCAGACTGCGCCGCAGCTTGCTCTATATCCAAGTCCTTATCTGCAAGCACCTTCAGTCCCCTTGTGGAGGCTGGGTTTGTGTCGCTCTTTTAAGCCCTCTCTGCCAGCGTCACTACAGCTCGGATCTGATGAACCGTCCTGCGCGAGAATGCCCCGTTCTGGTCCGGCGTGCATTCTACTTATATCTGTCTGTTTTGCCTACATCAAGCCCCGGAGCATATCCTGCCCTGCAAGCATGCCATATGCGATGTCTGCGTGCAGATCTTTGGTGTCCGCGGTCAGGGAGCCGAGTATCACTTTGAGCTGCGCTTATGCCCGCTGTGCCTAGCACATTTTTTGTGCATCATCTGGGTGCTGCCCCCCATAAAACAGCCGACCATTCTTGCCCTCGACGGCGGTGGCGTTCGCGGCGTTGTTACCTTGGGATTCCTCATGGCCCTTAAGGAGCGCATTGGCGGCTCCTAAGGACTTCGCGAGGCCTTCGACCTGAATATAGGAACTAGTGTCAGTAAGAGGTTCTTGTTGCATATAATTTAAGGCCCAGCTGGTAACTAATTCCTTTACTGTAGGCGCGGTAATCATGTCTGAGATCATCGACCTTGGAAGGCCTGCAGCTGTGGCCCACACTAAGTTCAGGGCTCTTGCATAGCAGATCTTCTGACCTTGGCCCCTGCGGCAGACAATCCTGGCGCAGACGTGGGACTTTCTGACCACCTGGATATCTGACAGCCGCCATAACTCCAACACCCTTGATAAGGCACTGCAGCAGGCCTTCGATCCCGCACGCTGGTTATTCGGCCCCGCCGCCCTGCTTGTCTCTGGCATCCATGTGGCTCTGGCCGCTAGTCAGGTTGACAATAACAGCTTGCTTGGCCTCTTCTGCAACTACCGCGGTGCTAGCTATGCCCGGATGCAATCCGCATACAAGCTCTTCCTACCGGAAGAGCGGGAGCCACTCCTATAGGAGGTGTACATGCCCCCATTGGTCGCCTGCTGTCATTTCCTGTTATTATACTTCTGCCTTATTCCTTCCTCCACTGTTGTCATCCTCCTGTGTTTGCCTTTTATCCCTTCTTTATCTAAGCGTCATGCATTAAGTACCTGTGCTTCTCCCTGTTGATTCATCCTTTATCAGACTACTGTTCAGGCCACTTACCTTCATTCCCCTTGTACCACAGCTTCTAGTGAATGTGCTAACCTCATCCACTGCGTAATMCAGGGTGAGGTGCAGTGTGGCTGCCTTAGGGTACATATCCACTCACTCCAGACATCAGTAAGACTGATCAGAGCAGGTATTTCATGCCCAAGTATCTCCCCAGAATCAGCACTTTTCAGGACGGCGGCGTTAGGGCCAACTATCCCCTGCGGACCGCCCTTCGCGAGAGTAAGATTATCTGGCCTGCCTGCAAACAGCCGGACCTCGTCATCAGTGTTAGGACTGGCTATGCTGTTGATGAAGCACCCCGGACGGCAGAGCCAGGCCGTCGCTGGCTGCGCGACGGGTTCATTGACTGCGCCCTCCAGACGTTTCTCCACTCCCTGGCCATCAATAGTTGGCGAGGGTGGCAGGACGCACTGGACACTGTGCCCGCCGGCATCAAAGGGAGCATATACTAACTGGACCAGCAGATTCCCAGAAAAGCCCCTGAGCTCGACAACATCTGCGCCCTTAATTCACTCCGGGAATTTGCGTACACAGTGCCCAATGAGCTCATCTAAGCCTGGCTGGCCAAGACATTCTTCTTTGAGCTCGACGGAGAACTTGAGAAAATTGATGGGTCTTACTGCTGTCATGGGTCCATCCTCTGCTGCAAATTTGATGCCCCCAGTATTGTCCGCCAGACAGAACTAGAGTACACCAGTGCTCACTTTCAGCTGTGGTAGGGCTGCGACCTGGGTGTTGTAAATAAACATAATGGATGCTTCATGTATGGCTATTACTGGAAGTGCATTTCCTTCCCTGTAGTCAGCGTCCATGAGATGATCTGATTAGGCCTCAGTGGCATGATGGGCTTCTGCACCATCAGAGGGTTTCCAGCCTCTGTTGAGGAGCTCATGGAGGTACAGCAGGTCAACAGTCCATTTGGGCGGTTAGATCATCGCACTAATCAGTGGCCACCATTACAATGATGTTATTGCCCATCACAGAAGTGCCCGCATCCACCTAAGGGAGAACTGATGCCTAAATGATGGCGGCTCCGCCGCAGCAGTGCATGAGGCATATAGGGTTTAAAATCAAACAGAAGAGGCAGCGGAGGAATGAGCAGTTCTCTAGAGTGGCAGAGTGGATGATGTCCAGCATAAACCCCAGAGGATGAGAACAAGAAAAGAGAGGGGAGTTTTGTAGGTTGCAATGGGGGAAAAGAAATAGACAGTAGGGGGCACCAGAGTTATCCAGTTAGGAGAGGCCACGCCACAAAACAATGGCCTAGTGATCAGCAGACGGCTGTGCGAATTGAAACCATTGGACCTATGGACAGGATCAGCCTAGTGCAGCGCTAGAACTGGGTCTGCAGCCGGCGCCCACACCCTTATCTGTTTAACTTTAGGCATAAACAGGAAGGTGGGCCTCCTATTAGCACAGAAGAGTATCTAGTCCCTGCTGCCCACCCCCCTATCATCTGATAATGACAGAGAGGGGCTAGAGAAAGAATTCTCTGAACTAGCCCAGAATGAGAGAGGAGCGGGGTTGCAGTATAGTATCTAAAAGCCTGCTCTTCAAGTAGCTGCTCCCCTAAAACTTAGATTTAATCTTATTCTACAGTTTCCAGTCGCTTGTACTTTTGTATTCTTTTAATATAAATATCATGGCTATCTAATCTGTGCAATCCAGAGAGTTAGGAGGGAATCTTCAGAGATGGGTACTAAGCAACTTTGGGACTGGTTCAAATGATGATGGATTAGGCAGCGGCTCCAAAAAATAATATTCTACTATTAACTATTGTACACTGCGACAAGCTATGATTTTCAGTCACAGATACTATACTAGGAAACCTTTTTGTCCCTGTTGTAGTCTCTTTAGAGCTGGCCTTGTAGTTATGGTGCTGGTTAGTGGTGAACAACTCCATTTGAATGAGCATATATATATATAGAATTGTCAACCTACCAGGCTACAACCCTCATAGTAATTATTCTCCTTCTGCGTTGTTGGCCACAGTGATAGTTGATACTTAACTAAAGGAAATCCAGCTTACTCTCTGATTTATCTCGCCTGTGTTAGTAAAGATAGGCTGACCAGATATAGAGATGGTTTTCTCTAGGTATTGCTGATGGACCACCCTCGCTGCTTCTCACCATGGCTCCCTATTGAGAGTCAATATCTAGCGGAAGCTTAATTATACAGGAGATACAAATTCAAAACATAGCAACCCTATGTCTAATGGATACTCCACTATTTCCAGCTTAAGGGGTATCCTAATCTCCTAAGAAATAATTAATGTGTTGGGGATAGCCGAAAGGCATCACCTGAGCATATTCAGGGATATGGTGCTATGCACTGAAGGGCAGGACATAAGGAATAAAGTGCTGGTACCTCTCAGCACCTCTCACAACCTCAGCACCTCTTAATAACTCTCTAGGAACTCCAAGCACATTAAGTACAAGAACTAAATTAAGGGTAGCGCAAAGTGCATGGCGGTATAATTTACTTTCTGCTTGCACCAACAACTAATGGGGTACATATATATGCTTCTAAATGCCCTCATATATGTCAGGGGGATTAAGTAGGTGTGGAGTTACAGAAACTGTTTATGAGCAACATCTTCATTACAGCCATTTTGATTGAAAGAAATAGATATATGGACAATGCTATTAATTTCTCCAGGCAAATTTAATTGCTCTAAACCTTGAATCTTATCCAGTAAGCTTTTTCTCTAATATTTGCTGGCATTTTTTTTATTTTCACTCCGATCCGAAAAACCTATGAATTGGATGTGAACTATAGAAGAAAGTCTCATCATCACCTTGCCCATGGAGCTATAGATGTCGCTCTAGATTTGTGCTAAAGACTCTCTCAGTAAGTATGCTCCTATTTCTTAAGAGAGTAATACCATGGAGGAGGAAACTAAAGGTATTGAAAAGTGCTGCTAGGAGACCTACTTAAGACCAAAAGAAATATAGAACTGCCAGCTTACTAATCAAGCATTGGGAAGAAATTACTAGAAATAAACTATGTCTGCAGGTGTCGCGCATAAACTTGGCAATGCCACTGATTATTGTTACAGATGTGGACAGGAAGCAGGCTAAGCCAGATCTATAGTGACTATGGCTTGCGAATCTGCTTAAGGTGCAAGCACCTCACTGTGTGTCTAATTCCTCTCAACTTAAAGTACTCCTTCATGCCCACATCTGCTGGCAGATTTAGGAACCCATTATAGAAAAGGAGATCAAGACTGTTCTTTGGTTGCACAGCGCATTATTGCTAGCGCAGCACTATATTACAGGACAGCCCTGGATTGTCCCGCAAGAGGCATGATATTCCAGAATTGCTCTTTTTATGCTGCGTAGACAGTATAATGCTTATTTGCCTGGCAAAAGTCCTTACCCAGGGCTACTATATCTGTGGTAGCGGCGACTGTAACTTCACTGGCAATTGAGAGATGTTACCACATGAGTTACTTACCCACATAATGCCGGCCGCATCTAAGAACGGACAGGGTGCCCACGAGGGAAGGCATGCGCTATCTCTTTTCTTGCTTTGTTTATGTTTACTGTGCCATTTCCCCCTTACTACTAGCCTCTCCCTAGTATTACCCTAGATACTGAAGTGTGACCCTGAGATTAACCTTCTATAAGAATTTGTTGTAGATCCACACATACCATTATAGTTTAATGAATTTTTTGATGCTTTGAGGTGCAACTTGTTCAGTCATGCAGCTTGTGTTTGTTATTGATCGCAACTAAATAAATGTTTTGGAAATATAATTCTAGAATATAGAGAAGTAAGTTAAAGAGGTCCAAATTATCATGGGAAAATAAGGCTGCACTAGTCAGCACACCCCGCCTCCCGAATAATGGTAGCTCAACCTAGTTATATGGTTCAACCCTGAAGAGACAGTCAAACACATGCTGTGTGGTTTAACATGTTGATCCATGCCCGCAGCATTATTCAACCGTGACGGACACCCAAAAGTCCCTACCACCTTCCAGGATAAAACTGCGCGCTTTGCTGTTCGTGTCATTACAGCTTAGGCTTGGCCTATTAGCCTATCTAGTGCCAGCCTGCTGATGCCCTCAGGATGATTAGATGAAGATTGCAAGCATGGTTCAACACAAGTACAATGCCTCGTCCTATTTTCCCTAAAAATTGGGGAAACAGTCTCCGGTTGGCTGGCAGCCCCTCTTGGCATTCATTGGAGCTCTTAAAATTGACAATCATGAACCAACAGCCACGTTGAACTAGTTGAACTAGTTGAACCAGTTAAACCAGTTGAACCACGATAAAGCAGCATGTTTAATATGTTGAACTCTAAACCATCAAGACTTTCCAACCACGATGAACACTCACGCAGCTCTTAAGGCTCAGGGTCGCCTGTAGTACAACCAAAAAGTACAGGCCACCGCCTATGTAGCTCAACCGTGATAGATTATTAAAGGTATTCGGCATGGTTCAACACTTTGAAATTAAAACATCAGTTGGCATTGTTCAACCATGATGAACACTCCTCCTAGTCTTAAAGGTCCAGCGTGTCTACATTTGACTAAGGTAATACTGGTCAACTTGCTGAAAGTATGGAAGCTTAAGGGCAAAAAGGAAACCAATGAGTTTAGAGCAAGCACATGCGTCGTCCAGTATCCTCTATCTTAGGAGGAGTCGATCTAGCACAGGTTCTTTATGAGAATTTGTCACGGAACACTCTGAGGTGTCTCACTATGGATGAGCAACGTCGCTGATGATCATGGAGAAAAGCATTACTTAGTGTTTTAACTAGTCGCTAATGTGGATTACATGTTGTGGTTAAGCTT